ATGTAAACAAATCATAGAAAAATTAGGAACAGATACACGTCACGATAATTTTCAAGATGTATTGTTAAAAATAACAATTTTTAAAAATTTACACCATGCCCATATGCAATATTTTAAACATAAACCATATACTATCATAGAAATAGTACACATTCACTTATTCATTTTCATTTCATGTTTTTATTCGAATACAAAGCATGAGATTTTATAAATAAGCAATCACAATTTACTATGCAGTCTGGACCCGCCTAACCATGGTAGGTTGTTTTGAGTGGTTGGCCCTAATTATTATAAACTTTAAATAAACTACTTAACAAAGTAAACATATACATGTTTGAACAATATCACATTTAGAAAACAAGAAAAGCAATGTGAATGTTGTAACACTAAAAACATTATATGAACTTCACATCATAACAAATTATAAACAACCCTAATATAAGAAACACAATAAAATTGTAAACAAAACAACAAACTCCTAAAAATATTCCAAAATGTTTCCTGAACGTTAACTTTGTAATATTTGTAATTTGGTTTTAAGAACATTATTAAATAGCCGGATAAAATAAACTAAACAGTGAATATAATAAATAATAAACTAGTAAACAATAACAATCCTTAGTAAACAGTTTCAATAATAATAATAAAAACATATTGAACAAGACAATTCTTATCAGGGGCGTAGTCAGGAATNTGGTTATTTAGGGTAGATCATCCTACCTAAATCTACCCTGCGGGTAGATTAGTTAACACCGCTCTTAGTAAAACTGGCATTTCTGTTAATACCGGTATTAGCACAACTTATGAACGCGTAGGGTAGATGATCCTACCAACCAGGATTAGTTAAGAGTGCTATTAAGGGACTCTTGACCCGGCCTTATTTGGTGAAGAGTGAAAACCGTAATATACCTTTAATTAAGAATACGACTACACTTCTTGAAACACTTGTTACAACCTGCCTTGTAAACTCCAGTATTCGTTTAATTATCAGACTCAATGCAATCAAGTACTTGATTCTTTCTCACAATTCATAAGTTTTTAAGAATTAAGTTAATCTGAAGAACATAATTGTACCGGTAATTTTCACGTCACACAGAACTTAAATAATTACTGTATTCTAGATAAAGTAAGGAAAGTTTTAGATATAGATTCTTGAAAACCTTAAGTACTATTAGATATATTGTATATTGTATTTTCAGATTAAAAAATGACAACTAAATCTACAATTTATATCTTTCTTCTCTCCCTATCCTTATTATGCCATGTACTAGCCCAGGAAGAAACAAAGGTATTCAATAAGATGAT